TACGGTCTACGGGGGAGGACAGACTTGAACAGATAATTACAATGAATTTGGATGAGTAAAGTGATAAAGGAAGTACAGGGCATTGCATTATGGGAATAGACAACATCTCCAGGGAAGTGATGCTTAACTTGTGGCCTGCGTGATGAGAAAGGATGCATAGGTGACAGGGACAAGGCATAAGCCAGAAAAGAGGTAGGAAGAGATGAAACCAGAGAAGTGGCCTGAGCCAAAATGGCATAGGGCCTTAGAAGGCATGGTGTAGGTTTTCAACTTTCCACTGAGTCGCTCTGCCTCTGGTCTTGCTAGACCTCAGTCCAGTCTCTAAGCTGAAAGAACAATTTGAGTCATACATTTTCTCACTGAAAAGCTTTCCTCAACTGGGAACGATGTCATGCACCTCTAATCCCAGGCTTACAGGGAGAGTCTAAGAAAGGTACTGCTCCCCCAGCCCCTGGTAGTAGGGATGGAACCCCAGGGCCTTTGCACTGAGATATATCTCCAGGACTTTTAAAAACTTTATTTTGATTTAGGGTCTTCTTAAGACATTAAATTGCCCAGACTGCTCTTGAATTTGTAATCCTCGTGACTCAGCCTCCCAGAAGCCTGGGATTACAGGTGCATGTCATCATTCCCAGTTTAGGAAAGCTTTTCAGTGAGAAAACATACGACTCAAATTGCTCTTTCAGCTTAGAGACTGGACTGAGGTCTAGCAAGACCAGAGGCAGAACGACTAGTGAGAAATCAGCTAGAGCAGCCAGGTGAGAGGCAGTGGCGGTGCCCGAACACGGAGAACAAAGAGCTGCCCACAGCTGAAGTCAAGGTGAAAGCCCTGAGCCTGCTCACTGACCTGGTAAGGGGGAGACACAGGAGGAGACTGGAGAATGGCTTGCCTGTGTCACTGACCAGACAGCTTGATGGAGGTGGAGGGTGGTTTTATAGCACCCCAAGTGCCTCACCCAGGGGCACTTACTTCCTCCTGCTCTCATCCAGGAATGTTTTCCTCTGTGTATACCTTTAATTCAGGACAATCAGCCCCTACTCATCTTTAAGGGATGAATTTGAAATGAACTAAGACAATCATGGTTGCCAAAATTTTTTCAAACATATAAATAATACAACATAATTCTGTCCAATAAGGTGACTGCTAGGGCCGGCCACCTAGCTCAGCGGATTAAAGCCCCTGCAAGGTGACTGTTCCGGCCCAGCCCCTACAACGCCCGGAGACAGCAACTGAGACTGGGCGTGGTGGCGCGCGCCTGTAATCCCAGCTCTTGGGAGGCTGTAAACCGGCGGATCACTAGGAGTCCAATCTAGTAAGTGAGACCCTGAACACCCTGTAGACCCTTCCCTAAAATTTAAAAAAAAAATTTTTTTTTTTAAAGATGACTGCTAGAGGGCCGGGGAGATGGCTCAATAGAGTAAGTGCTTCCCTGGCAAGCACAAGTACCTGAGTTCAATCCCCGGTTCCACCAAAAAATAAATAAATAAATAAAGATGACTGCTAGAGAATTTCCAGAAAAGCTTTTCCTTATCTTGAAAAGAATATACTTCTGTGCCAGCCATATTGGCTCATACCTGAAGTCACAGCACTCACTGGGAGGCTGAGGCAGGAAGATCACAAGTTGAAGACTTGCTTTGGCTGCATAGCAAGATCCTGTCTCAAATGAAACAATTCTAGATGCTTGTTATGTGAAGCCGTAGAGACTCGGGGGAGGGTATTCATTGTAACAGTACACTTTAACAAAAGCTAATTGATACAGATGGCTAACACTACAGCAGTCCTGAGATGTCATGAGCCAGGTGTCCCTAGAAACCAGGCAGAGATCAACAGCACAGAAAAATGGAAAACTAACCTGAGTTTGAAGATTCTTTAAGCTACCAATTTAACAACCCTGGAGCTGCTTTGTCTCTGAACTTCTCACTGTGTTACATAATAAATACAGTAACTTTGGGGATTCTATTACTTGGTTTTGTTTTGCTTTGTTTCTTTGAGGCGGGGTCTCATGATGTAGGCCAGGCTGGCCTTGCACTCACAGCGATCCTCCTGCCTCAGCCACCCACATGCTGGAATTACAGGCATGGGCCACCACAGTGGGGATGCTATTACTTGAGACACTGCTTTTTATTATTATTATTTTTATTTCTTTTGTGCTACAAGGGATTGAATGTGGGATCTTGTGCTCGTCAGGCAGGCATTTATCCTGCTGAGCTGTATCCTCAGCCCCTGATTCTGTTACTTGAAACTGAAAGAATCTGGTTAAAACAGGCTGATAGAAAAAAGAAGTGAAATTCTGATATGTGCTGCAGCATGGCTGAACCTTGAAGACATTGTAGAGGAAATCAGCCAGACAAAAAGGTCAGATGTTGTGTAATTCCACCACCTACACAAGGAATCAAAAGCAGTGAACGTCATAGGCAGAAAGTACAGCGGAGGTTGTCTGGGCCTCGGAGGAGAAAGGAATTAGGGGTTGCTGTTGAATGGGTTTGGAGTTTCAGTTGAGACAGTGAAAAAGTTCTGGAGGTGGGTGGAGGTGACAGCTGCACAACACAGTTGATGCACATAAGACCACAGAATTCTGAGTCTAGAATGGTTAAGGCGGTAAAAAAAAAAAAAAA